TATGGGAATTAGTACCTCTACCTCAAAAATATAAGGTCATTGGTTGTAAGTGGATTTTCAAGAAAAAGTTGAACTCTAAAGGGAAAATAAAAAAATATAAAGCTAGATAGGTTACAAAGGGTTTCACCCAGAAAGAATGGATAGATTATGAGGAAACTTTTTCCCCTGTTGCCAAACTTCCATCCATCCGATTCCTTATAGCTATAGCAGCCCATTTTAACTTTGATGTTCATCAAATGGAGGTCAAAATAGCCTTTCTAAATGGGAATTTAGAAGAAGAAATCTACATGACCCAACCTGAGGGATTTGAGGAGAAAGGGAAAGAAAACCTAGTGTGCAAACTTAATAAATCCCTTTATTGCCTGAAATAAGCATCGCGACAGTAGTATATAAAATTTCAAAAGACCTTTGCTCTTGTAGGGTTCTCTACAAATAATGAGGATTACTGCATATATCAAAAGGTCAGTGGGAGTGATGTGATATTTATATCGTTATATGTAGATAATATGTTAATTGTTAGTAGCTCAATTGCCCTAATAGTAGAGACGAAGAATCTCCTTGCATAACACTTCGATATGAAGGATATTGGAGAAGCTTCATACGTGTTAGGCATCAAGATAATAAAAAACATGAGAGAGAAGACTATCCAACTTTTTCATGCAATCTATTGTAAGAAGATACTGAAAAAGTTTGATATAAGTATGTGTAAGCTCATGTCTACCCCAATTGACAAAAAGACGAAGCTTAGTAGAAAATGTGTCCTACCGAAGACATGGATATAAGAGCCATAAAGAGAGTGTCGTACAGGAGTGCAGTTGGGGCCCTTATGTACACCATAACGGGAACAAGGCTTGACTTGTCCTTCATCATGAATCTGGTGAACCGTTTCTAAAGCAATCTAGGAAATGAGCATTAAAAAGTAGTGAAAAGAATTCTCAAATATTTAAAAGAAACCATAAACTAAGCCCTCAAATATAAAGGGGGAACTGAAATAGCAATGAGCGATATTAAGATGCAAGCTATCTCGCGCATCTAGATGATGCGAAGTCTACATATGGGTATGTGTTTATGCTTGGAGGGGATGCGGTTTCTTGGAAGTCAAAGAAACAAGATATTGGGGCATTGTCTACCGTGGAATCCGAGTATGTGGCATGCTGTCTAGCATCCAAGGAGGCCATGTGGATTAAGAAGTTTTTTAATCAACTTAATTTTCATCCTGTACGTTGTGAGGGAATGAGAATTTTCTGCGACAACACTGCGGCTATTTATGTCTCTAAGGAGCGCCTCAATTTCACAAGAATTCCAAGCATATCAAGCTATACTTTTATCACTTGAGAAATGAGGTGAGATTGAAAGAGATCGAGATCAACTACATATCTACAGATATGATGATTGCAGACCCTCTGACTAAGAGAGTTGTCCCTAATATTTTTGTAAGACATGTGAAAAAGATGGGGATGACAGAAAGTGAGGAAGATAGAATGTAAGGTCTTCAAAGGCCAAGTAGGAGATGTTGAGTTTATGTGGCCTTTAAAAGTCTTATGAGTGTGTAATGAAAAACATTTACTATAGTTGAACATAAACTCAGTGGGAATGTGGTCCCTCGAAGATCATACTAAATAAATGATGTTTGCTAATACCGAACTGTGCTTGACTATCTAGGCCAGTCAGTTGGAAAATCCAAGGTACCTAGACATAAAGAACAAACCGATAAGGGTTTTGAGTTAGCCCTTGATGAGGTCGGAGCTTATACTTGGATGAGTGAGCCGAGGGGCTGTGTGACCCTTGTGTGTGATGGTAGGCCTACAGAGACGAGGGCCAAATCCTCATCCATGTTCCATCACACGGTATGCATATCGATAGATCGTTTGGAAAAGCCAATTATCCACCTTTGGGTGAAGCGCATACATGTGTGAGAGCGATACCCCTATGCACCATAGAGCTGTGGGCACATCAGGTCGTGGTGATCTTGACTCGTCTCTAAGGCAGGACCTGTAATCCACAAACTGGGATTGAGACCCCTTGGCTTATCAACCAGACTTTGGTGACCCGCTAATGAGCCTCTACTTGGACCGTGGGTCATGAAAAACACTGGGTCGATTTGATAAAGCATGTGTGGTCTGTAGTCCACAGTTGAGGGTTAGGAAAGTTAGGGTTTGAGCCTAATTATTTTGGAGTTAGGGTTTTGTAGAGATTTAAAGGTGGTTACCTAGTTTGGCCGAAATTATCTTTCTCGGTCTGATATTGAAGCTAGACCGTTGATCCAACGCAATTGGACGTGGTGACTCGGTGTGGGGTGTAATAAGCCCGGTTAAGGTAATCTCCGGCATCTTCTCTTTTACTTGTTTTGCTCTTTTATTTTATATTCTCAAGCATAGTGTTAAGTTGTAAAAATAGCATCAAGTGGTTGAGTTTTATTTTATTGAGCATAGTGTTAAGTTGTAAAATAGCATCAAGTGGTTGAGTTTTATTTTATTATTGTCCTACTTTATTTTGATATATTTATTTATTGTAAAAAAACCATATGTAAGTGATCCTTTGCTAAAATACAAAAAGGGTGATTATTATCATTGAAAAAATTGTATTCCCTGGCAAAAAGATCACATAGGTCTAACTTTTAGTGATCTTCTACATAGTCAGCTGTATTTAGATGATGCACATATAATATTATCTTTAAAAGACACATTTTTTATATATTTTTTTAAAAAACATGTCAAATCTACACAATCAAACTAAAATGGACATATATAGTACAAGTAAGATTGCAAACTTATAAATTACAACTATAAAAAAAGAGCATCATCTTTGTTACAAGGAAATTATAATTATCAATGGTCATTGGATTTAAAATCAAACGATCAAGGACGTGCTATAGACCAACCTTAAAGTTTAAAAGAAAATTTCTCGATCTTTACTAAACATCCCAAGGTTCAGGATTTGACTTCAAATAATTTAGAGTTACGGCAACCTACTTGTACCAAGGGAAAATAGTCTTATAGTACACATGCCAAATAGATTATACTCCAATTGCCTCGTAATCATTTTGTAAACTTTTCATACGAATTTCAAAAGATGGGTGTTTGGGGTTATCTTCTACGTCAGTTGGATTTCAAAAAGGCATTTTTTTGGGCTGCCTCTTTCCCCATTGCAGACCATAATAATGTGATATTTGGTGAAAAGAATTCAAAAACACTTCATTATCTTCATCTTCATCGAGTCCGCTATAAGAACCGTGGTCTGCCATTCAAGGCATAGTTCCCAATAAACCCTCATGCATATGAAAGGAGCCCCTCAAAGTTAAAAGAAATGAACATTCAGCCACCTCCTTACCTCTGTTCAAATTGCAATATTTATTTCTATTTCCCAATGACTCCATCATCCAAACCTAGAAAAACTCGTATTAAAGCATAGTAATTATATAGCAATGTTGTAGGGACATCACAAATGCATCAAGAAGATGCCTATTTCGCAACTTTACCACAACACAAACTTGAGCCCACCTCAAAAACTTAACTAGAAGAAGTTGTTTTGATGCCCAAATATCCTCAAATTGATCCTCTTGACATCAAGATGCAAACATAATAATAATAATAATAATAATAATAATAATAATAATAATAAATAAATAAATTGATTTCAAGTTGTAAAAATAATACATCTTGTATCTTGTTTTGGGACAAACTATTTTCAAGATTTTCATACCAACTACATTATTTTTGAAGCTTTTAAATTTTATAATTACAAAAAATTGTAATTTAAGGGTATTATAAAGATTTCTAGTATTGAGACCATATTTCTCAACACTGTTTGATGATGGGCTCTAATTTGATTGTTTTAAACCTCTATATAAACCGCAACAGCTTTCAAGTAATACACCATTTTCCCTAGCCTAACGCCTTTCCTAAGTTACCTACAATGCTAGTCCCTGCTTATATTCCTATATACACGTTCCTGCCTAGACTCTATACATTAAGCAGGCATGCCATGCTCCCTCATGAGCATGGTTTACTTCTACTCCCTCGGTAACCTACTTGGGAGGATTTTTTCAATATGTAATTTTAAGAACCACCTAAGAATCACTGGATTACTCTCAAGACAATAAAAAAAAATAAAAAGTTTTACAACACTCATATCTCACTCTCAAAAAATTAAAGGGTTTATTTTCAATCTTGAGACATTATTTTTGAAGTGCTTAAGGGTGGCATGAGGGAAAGAAAAAAATTTAAGTCAATGTGTTAAAAGAGATTATATCCCAAAATTTAGGGTCCTAAGCGACGTTTTACCCAAGGGAGTAAATAGACAGTATTACTCCCTCTAAAGGAGAGAGAAGAAGGCAGAGAGGAGGGAGAAGGAAGAGGAGATGCAATCAACATTAAACATTGTCGACTGTTTCAAGAGATGGGAAAGAGAGAAAGTAGTCGGCACGCAACTATCAGATGAGAGCCTATCCCCCACAAGGTACAAGTTTTTTTATGGTTGGCTGCCCAAAATAAAATATTAACGGTTGATAACCTTATCAAAAGGGATAAAGTACTTCCTCACATTTGTCTGATGTATAAACTTGATAAAGAAACTGGGAACTATCCCTTTCTTAACATTTGTCTAATGTATAAACTTGATGAGGAAACCGGGAACTATCCCTTTCTTCATTGCAATGTGGCATCCAGAATCTTGTATTGGTTCTTTGGTTTACTACGGATCGCTGCCTCTATTCCGAGATCGATAATGGACATTGTTTCAGGAGTAGAATATCTATTGGGTTTTAGATTTACAACGACCCTCAGAAATAGAAAACTCAAATAGCAGACATCATCAACACGGTAGGACCACCACTTGATCTTCTCGCATATCACTATTACCATCCAACATTATAATTTCTCCACGAATTGCATTAACCACGAACATACTGCAGCCTCCCAACAATGTTCATGCTTTCAACAGTTTCGGTATTACCATTTCGTTAAATAATAAATCTAAAACCACAGATTCCATTTGTGAGGTGAGTAAATCATGAAGGTGTGGATACTTAAATTATTCACAAGTATGCCTCAAAATGGAGGACCCCATGATAAGGGAGAAGAGAGATGACTGAAGGATCCAAAAGCATCCCATGCATGGACCCCGGCCGTTGCCTCATTCATGTGGCACACCGGCATAATGGTCCGGTGCACGATTATATATAATTACAGATTCCCAATACATCTCGACCATGTGTTCGAATCCAACAAATTCAAGCACCTCTTTGCACTCTCTTTCTCTCTATCCACAAATACAAGATGGAATGGAATGAAAAGAAACGCAACGACCAGGAAAACCGACTTACAATTCCTCGAGTTATTGGATCTTTCCTCGTTCACTCCTCAAATTCATTCATATGGTCCAAGAGATAGTTTGCAGCTAGCTCCTCATTTTTGTTGCACGCAAAGAAGACCTCTAGCACGAGTGCCCGGTCAAACCCCAACGCCTCCAGCTGCCAAAACAGAGGCAGACACAAACAAGACTATCATTTTCAAGCACCGTTACTCTAACCTTGGTCTAAGTTACTCTTTATTGAACAGCACTATACCCAACTTTGAATCACAATATCATTCAAAATGCACAAAAAGTCCAAAACTCTGGATATAAAGGACAGTATATATCAACCCTGAGGAAGACAAGAAATCTGCGTCATTAGGGTCATCAGCATCAAATCAATAGATCGGATGTTGGAGAAGTCTAGATTCTGCGTGATTACTGTCCATCTTTTGTCCATTAGGGTACAGTAAGTCTAGACTCCATTTATCAAAATCAACCCTCAAGAATACAAGAAATCTGCGTCATTACTGTCCATCTGCTGTCCATCATCCATTGATGGACAGTAAGTCTAGATTCCATTTATCAAAAAGTTAGATCCCTTGAGCCCATACGAATGAAGATATCAGAACTAGATAGGAAGTCCCAAAGACTTTGAAAAGTTTTAAATTCCATCTCTTCGACCAAGCATGGGCACAACGAAAAGAATGAGGAGAAATTAACATATAACTAAAAACCACCAGAAAAAAAAAAAGAGGGGAGGAGAGAGGGGGGAGGGGGGCGGGGGCGGAGAGAGAGAGAGAGAGAGAAGCCATTATGCCAATCAGCCAAAACCATTAACAAGTAATGTTAAATATGGACTAAAGAGGGCCACAGAAGTTGGCACGGCAAACTTACACGCTCAATGGCCAAAACCATTAACAAGTAATGTTAAATATGGACTAAAGAGGGCCACAGAAGTTGGCAAGGCAAACTTACACGCTCAATGGCCTCCCGCTCCTCGGGTGTGACAGTCACAGCCTGTGGCATTGCTGAAGCAAGCTGCCCAAGCAAGTTCCTGCTTAAGCACAAATGTTACATAAGTAAAAGAAATACAATCCTCCAATAAAAACTCTTGAATGGTCCATTACTCACCCTTCTGCGCCCTCTGCAGGCTGTTCATTGATAAGGCGAAGGAAGTCAGCTTGGTGTTCTTGAATGAGTCTCATAAGCTGAGGATTTTGTTTTCCCAGCTCTTGAAGCATTGGCTAATTAATTGACAGCCCCCAAGGAAATTGTTAGAATTCAAGTGAAAAAATACATTAGAATAGAACAAGCATCCAAAAGTTACTGGGAAAAAAGAAAATAGTACCTGCAAAATCTGAGGATTGGCTTGAAACATATCCCGAAGAGCTTGGAACTGTAAAAGGGAAACACATAGATTAGTAAATGCACCAATATTCACCTGGGTAATACGTTAATCATTTCTAAATAAGCACCTGTTGACTGTTGCGAAGAAAATCCAGAGTACCAGCTCCAGCAGCACCTCCCATGTTCGGAAGACCCTGTTAAAAATAAGTGACTGAACGTTAATGCGAGTAAGCAATTAAATTAAATGAGCCGCATATGTAAACCCAGTCATGTCATTGTCACAGACCTGAGGGAAAAGATCCAATGGATTTGCATTTGGTCCACTTGACGGAACTGCAGGTTGAGCTGCTTGTGGGGCCTGGACTGAAGGATTCACAGCTGGCCCACTTGCAGGTGATCGAGCCACTGGTGCTGGGGCTTCAGCTTGTTCAGGGATGCCCTAGAATATGAGTAACAGAAAACATAAAAAAAGTTAAATGGAACATAACGAGAAAAACAGCAGGATATCAGAAACATTGACTCAAACGAACAATAAAGAGCTCAATAAAAACAAAAAGATTCCATAAGATGCAAGATGAAAATTTGCTAATGGACACATGTATATAACATTACATGGCTATAAATTCTGGCTGGAACATTGTCTACACCTTTATTTTTGGGTTTAAATCATCAGTTCATGTCACCTTGGTCTCCAAGGGAGAAAGGTGGATCAAATGTTTCATCCAATCAACAATAACTCAATGTTCTTAGATGATGAAGGACAGGTACCTCTTAATCTTGAAATCTTTCTTATTAAAGAGTAGGAATGTAATTTTTGAGATCTTCGAAAGTTATTTTTGGGTAACCAAGTTTTTTAGGGATTTTAGGTTCTTTTATTTTTTTAGTTTTTTAGGATGGAAAAGTCAAGTACCTAAGCAATTTGTTTTATTCAGGAGTAAGTTTGTTTTAACCAAGACTTCCATGTTAATTAGAATTAGGGATTTCTAGGGCTCTAAGAAAGGACTTCTATTATAAAAGGTGTACTATTGGGGTTTATCATCCAGAGTTCAGTGTTGAGATCTTATTTCTGGTTTAACCAGTGTACAACGACAACGCCTCTGACTCATATGCTTCCTCTTAAATTTTCTATCAATAGATTATATGACTTTCTTCCCCACAAAATTTCTCTCTGCATTACCAGTCAGCACAATAAAGATCTCATTCGACTCCGGAGATCCACATCCAAATTAAGATCCAGTGCTTCCCCAAGACTGCATTTCATTGGCCATGTCAGCATCAGACACTTTTGAAACTTTGAGTGTCGAATTGCTTAAATTCATCACAAATTTTTTACTCTTCACATCATTCTAAAAAATAAATGTTTCAAAAAATCTGCTCTATATTATTAAATATTTGAACCGCTTTGGGTAGTTTAGCTGCAAGAGTTATGACACATTGAAAGGTGTACCCAAAAGTGGCAGCAAAGAAAACTCAGAAGGTTTCCGCCATCAAGAGCAGGGCCGCAATGGCCCTTGGCCGGAAACCAAGGCTTTCAGGCTGGGAGAGGTTCTGGGCATATAGGGTTCAAGCCACTTGATAAGGACAGAGAGATGGACATGATCGGGCCTTATAAGCCTTGAAATCCTGCCCTCGCCTTGTACAAAACTAGGGCCTAGCGCTTCTTGATTGTTTTTCTTTTTTTGGGGGGGCCGGGCCAAAATAAAATGAATTCGGATGAGGCCCCGCCCGATCAAAACTTTGAATTTGGGACCCGGACCGACCCCACTCTCTTTCAGGCCGAGCTCAGGCCAGGACTGGCCTGTCCTAGCCCAACCTGTTGGCAGCCCTAATCAAGAAGGAATCCACCAATCCTCAAACCATTATATCATGCAGCAGAACCTACATTATGTAACAGACTGTGTCCTCCCCAAAGTCCTCCCATAATTCATACACCAAGGACTTAATCTAAGCATCAAAGGTCCAATCAACCACCACTTCTACTTGAGCTAAAAACTGATTGATTGCTGCCGATAGAGCAAAAGGGCTACTGAATCTCCGTTTTTTCTCTCAAACTTGAAAGTTCCAAATTAAGATTTAACTAGTTAAGAACATCACCCCTGGGCTCAAAGCTCAGAGGAATTAGCCAAAACAAACAGGATTGCCAAGCAGTAGTGAAAACCTTTGTCAAGGCATGATAAGCCGTTTAGGGGTAATTAATGTCAGCCAAATCTCCTCAATAACATATATGCAAGACAGCAGTCATGACAAGCTTTGCTCCCAGGAGATTCCCCCTCTCCAAGTACTAAGGCTCATAAATCCTGAGACAGCTGCAACATGAGATAGCAATATATCAAGCCTCAATGATTCTAACTCTTGAGTTTCCAAAAGATGGATAATCTATCCTCAGATTTTAAGATTCTCAGAAGCCCCTGATAAGATTCTCAAAAGCCCCTGATATAAATAGCGATCTCTGAAAACAAACCACCATGCTGCAACTTGAAGCAGACAACACTTTATAAACCCAAATATAACACTCTTTTCTAGAAGAACCTAATTTCTTGCATATAGCTTTTTTTGCATTAAGAAAATAAGAGCCAAAAATCACACTATCCACCGTCAAAATAAGAATATAATAACAGCAAAAGTAGCCACACTGCCAAGTAAGAACCTCCAAGGAACTTAACTTGCATTACCTTAATTAGTTTGAATATGCACACATGTGCACACACACCCACCCCCCAAAACACGGGCACACACACCCACCCCAACCTCCCCACACATCCCAACACACCTACACATGCACACACAACCACACCCACACCCACACCCACCTGCACACACAGATTATATGTGTGTGTGCGTGCGTGTTTGGAGGGGTGTGTACGAATGTACATATGTATATATGTCTGTATGTATGTATGTATGTACACACACTCCATAATAAGCATGTAGAAAGATCGTACACAGAAAACAACTTTGGTACAGTCAAAGAAATAAGGAACAGCTTCAATTTGCAATACTAAAAGTAGATGCATGAATAAGCCAAGTAAACTCTTACCCATCCAATTAGCATCATAGTTACCAGAATCTTTCACACAAGGTCGTGATTCCGAATAGGAAACACGATTCTGCAATTCCAACAAGGAATCTTCACGAAATATGTTTCTGTGAAGTAACGAATCTCAACTCCAACACTTCTACCATATCGTTTCTAATATTTATTAATTCCCGATTCCGCAATTGTTAAATCTTGATTCTACATTTGTTGAATTTGGATTCCACATATAATGATACTCTCCGTCAAATAGAAACACAAATATAGGGCCATGAATTACAAAATAAACAATTTAGAACCTATGAGAAGCATCAAAAACTCGATTCAAAAAATATTGGAATCACGATTCCATATATGAAAGAATCTCGATTCCATATGGATTAATTTCAAATAGGACAAAAACACAATTCCAAAGAGGATGGAATCTAATTCCATACACATAGGGATCTCCATTCCTGTAATCTCATTTCCTGCAATTCCCCTTGTACGGACGTCAATCCCAGCCAACCGCGATTCCGCGATTCAGATTTCCTAAAACGATTTGGAATCTCAAGTGTTTCTAACAACTATGGGGAGCATCGAACTCGTTAATCAAACAATTTATACTCTGATGCTCACAAGTCAACCAAGTAATGCCAAGACTCAAATGTCACTTGACTGATCGTCTGGAAGAAGCAACTGTGCACGCGATTCCGCGATTCAGATTTCTAAAACGATTTGGAATCTCAAGTGTTTCTAACAACTATGGTGAGCATTGAACTCGCTAATCAAATAATTTATACTCTGATGCTCATAAGTCAACCAAGTAATGCCAAGACTCAAATGTCACTTGACTGATCGTCTGGAAGAAGCTACTGTGAAGGAGAAGAATTCTTCAAGATCATTGCTACACACATCAACAGCATACTCCAACCAACAAAGTCTGACCGAGTGTCAAGACTCAAATGTCGCATGACTGAGTGTCTGAAATAAACTACTTTGAAGGACTATAAATTTTCAAGATCATTCCTCTACATATAGGAAAATATACTCCCGTCAAATGTCCTTATCATTTTAACACCAAGTGCTGTTCCTGTGTTACATCTAACACCCACAGTTTTCAGAAGTTAGCATCCACCAAAGTAAGAAGCTAGCCGAGTCAACAATTAATAGTCACCAATGAAAAAATGGTACACAATCTCTTAAATAAGTACTTCAAGGTGAGCCCACTAATCCCAAAAGCACATTGTTTACATAAGCAAAATGAAGTAACTAAATTAACATTTTAGCCTATATATAACATTGTCGTTCTATCATAAATATTAAGAATTATATGAAAAGTTAAATTTTGGATTTTCATGTGACTCGAAAAATGTAGTTATAGAATTATTCTAACATATAAACACAACAATAAAACAAATTTCCACTTCGGTACATATTTTTCCAAATCATCCTCCTTAGAATAAAAACCATCTTTAAACAACAAACTTAAGTTGAAAGAAATAGAATGTGAAGTGAACATCGAAAATAATATCCAATGGGAAAAAAAATAAGCCCCAAATCATCTTGAATTGCATCCCATCCGAGACAATCAGGACAACAAGCAATCTATCTATTGATTAGACTGTTTTATTGGTACTGTCTATTGATTAGGCTCTTACTTTTCTCCTCGATCAATTGATTGGGCTATCATTTGTCTTAAACTCTACAAGTTGATGGAAAAGACATTAGGCTCCTTTTAGTCTACTATTACCAATCCCTTAACAAGTAAGCTTCTATGTAACTCATGATTTCTTTGTATTCTCCAAGATTGTAACATCCTAGTCATTTTTTCAACCATCACACAACAAGTAAGCATGCTACAGCCTTACGACAAGCAGATCTAACCCACATACACATAAATAAATAAATATTTTGCATTCCAACAACCTAGCATGCAGAAGCAACCTTGTAACCTCAGATGACACAGCAGAGAGTAATAAGAACCACAGCGAACAAAGCATTTTAAGACAATGGCAAAAAACGATATACCAATGAAATCAATGAACTACACCAAAACAACAACAAAAAAAGAACACTTGGGGAAATTAACCATTTAACTGCTACCATATGAAACAAAAGGAAAGAAGAAAATACACGTACCGAATATAAATATTCAACTGCTCTCTCAGGATTATTATAAGCAGCACGTAAAGCACGAACAACAGTGTCTCTGTCCCAGCTACCACCACCCATGTCAAGAATTTGCTGGATAGCTTGCTCTAGATTGCTGCCAGCAACAAGATTTGATGCCGCCTGACCATACACATCTGCGTCCCCACTGCTTAGACTAAAGAAAAAAAGGAAAGCATGAAGACAATTCCCAAAATACCTCATTAATTGAATAGAACATACAAATGCCAAGTCCCATAATCAAATAATGAGAAATGCCCAATGCAACAGAAAGCATGCTGCCACGTTAAGAATGTTTAGCCTAGTAAATGACAGCTTATAACAGAAGCAATGAAAGACACAGTGCTCAAGGCAAACATGTATCTTTAGCAATCTCCAAAAATCTGAGCTCCAGAAAAGACAAAGTGGAAAACTAAAACACCTCAATGGCATGCCTAAAGACAAGAAAGTAACCACAACAAGGAGACATCCAACCAGATCTTAAACAAATACCCATGGATGCCAATGGATTTCTGATTACATAACACCAATGACAAGCTGTATACAACCACAATCTCTCACATTTCGTGAAACAAACCAGCGACCACAGCCTATTATGTCTAAAATTACTGTAAAAAATAATATTTAGAATAAAGTATATTCATAAATTTTAATAGGAGGAAGGGATGCCACTCGAGATTTCAGACAAATAGTGACAAACTACCCTTAAGAAAGTGACCCAGTGGGGGTTGCTGGCATGCTCAGAGATAACAATGCACACTCTATTTTTCTGAAGCTCCTAACGATTGTATTAAGTAAAGAGAATGTACAAGTGTCAAAAAAATAGGCCGCTCACAGTTTGGAAGCTCTATACAAAGCCATGCAGGGGGTGGCCAGAGTTAGAAAATGTTCTACATCCATAGCTGTAAGAAAATAAAAGGAGAAAAGCAGGAACCAAGAGCACAAGAGAAGGCATCACAAGGTTCCCGGACCATCCACCCCAGTAGCTTCTTCCTTAGTGAGCACGTCGGCCTCGAAGATGGCCTTGTGCCAGGTATGAGCACATGAGATGCGCATAGGCCTGCAAATACGTACACCAGCCTCCAGAGATAGGGACCCGAGCTTGAGGCCCAATAAATAACATTTTTGGAGTCCCCCTCCACTACCAGAATAGGACTCCAAAGGGGATTGAAATTCTTGAGGCCTTCAAGTAGGGTGTGCACTTCCGTTGTATCAAAACTGAGGAGCCAATACTCAACCCTCTTAAAAGTGCAAGAGGGAATTGCCATAGCCTCATATTTTACTTTGGTCTGAACAACTATCTATCACTTCCCCTCAATTTGGTGAATATCCAACAAGCACAACTCTTTCGCTTTTCTCCCCTCTCACCTGCCGTGCCACAAGTTTACCCTTTCCTCTTCAAAATAATTTCAAGCTTTCCATCGCGGATCTTCCAAAACCTCGAACGACAAATCCCATGGACTACTGGACTCCCAAATGTTTTAAAACCACCTATGACAAGAGGCCTCATAACATTCCCTTGTTTGTAATGCACAGTACTGTTTTTTAAAAGTAGTGACACATGGTATATTGACCAAGGAAACTAGGTTAACCTGACTTCCATGCGGTAAGACTCCATACTTGATCAATGGATTGTTTTTAAGGTATTTTTTTTAAGACCTGCCGAATATGATAGGGCATTCATTCACACTTGTGCACCCATTCATGACAAGGGTTATTTCCAGTTTCGAAAGGCTCAATGTTTAAGGATTCAAATTTGCATCCAAACTTCAATGGTGGGCACAAATAGCACATGATAGGGCATCAAAGGCAATAATCTCTAAAATGATCCCATTTGCAGGCCTTTTCAAGCATCATCGCTCATCCAAAGTATTAAGGCTCCAGGGGGAGAGGCACAACAAGCCATACCACACTGGTTTGGAGATCTTGTACCACCATCTTGTAGAATCAAAAGGACCAAAAAAAAAAAAAAAGCAAAAGCAACCAATAGAAATTGAAGGATCTAAACCCCAAACCAATCAATCTTGCCTTCAAATATAGAATCAAGACGTTGTCTAGTGATGACAAGAGCTTCCAAATCATTCATCTTCAAGGATTCCTAAACACAAAACACTAGCACCCTCCCATATCTCCCAAAATGTTGAAAACATTGAAATCATATGGATCCAAAGCAAGTATTGTATTGCTCTCAATATACACATAAATTAGATATCATACTAACATGTGTTTCAAACCCTAGACTTGTGTAGGGAGTAGGGGCTCACTAGGGTCCCAAGCCCGAGTCTAGAGGTTCACTTGGGTAAAGTCCAAGTCAGACTAAACAATCTAAACCTAAATTAGATATCATACTAACATGTGTTTTAAACCCTGGACTTGTGTAGGGACGCACTACGGTCCCAAGCCCGAGTTCAGAGGTTCACTGGGTAAATTCCAATACAAACTAGACAACTCTTTCGAAAAATAAAGAAGAAACATTAGGAACATGCGAGACTGGGCCGATCTTTGAACTTTTTTGCTTAGTACCGGCATCCTGCCAAGTCCAACTGGGTGAGTTAACACAGGTATCATCACATCAGAAACTTCATCTTGTCAATCATATCCCATTGCTCTCACAATGAGAATACTACTCACAATTATATCTAGTTCTACACATTAGCCAATTGATGGAGACAACCCATGGTTTCATTTAGAGCTAGTGAACTAGTGGGAACATCCATCTGTATCTAAAAGAGTAAGACTTTGTGGCCATAATATATCCTACCAATTCTGTGCCAGTGAACTAGTGGGCGCATCCATCTGTATCTGAAAGAGCAAGACTTTGTGGCCATAATATATCCTACCAATTCTGTGCTACTGAACTAGTGGAAGCATCCATCTGTATCTAAAAGAGTAAGACTTTGTGACCATAATATATCCTCCCAATCGCTCCCTCTTATAGCAAAAAAAGAACCTCAAAAAATGGACTTCATCAAAAAATAACCCAAAAAAAAATCCATACTAATCCTAGTTTTAAAACTATCCTAGTTTTAAAACTAGACACTAATCAAATGAAACAAAAAAACAACCATTAAAAAAATAAAGAAATGATTAAGTCCCCAAAAATTTTGAGAAAAAAAAATATTGAATCCATCCAATCTTTATCTACATCATCCCATAATCCACCTTCTCCAAATTCTAGAACAAACGGCATGACTCAATAGCTCCTTCAGAGTGATCAAGTACTTCATGAATCTAACTTTCAAGAAATCTGAAATACTAGAGGCTTAGGTTCAGTGGAAGTGATAACAATAAACAGCTATAGTGATCCATTCTTAACTAGGTGTGCCCTTCATTTGATGGATAACTAATGTTAGACATCTAAAACACTAAATCAAATAAATCCCAGAGAAATGCTTGACCTAAGCACGATACGATACAAATTACTAGAACCCCCTCAGTCTTCACATATATCCCCCACACCATAAATAAGTAAGCCATACAACGCAATAATAGCCAAAGTTAAAACGCCAATACCATAAATAGGCATAGTGTAAAATCCTTATTTAGGTATCATTAGAGTTCAATCAATGTTCTCGGGGCTTGTATCAGGAATCTCGGGGCTTTTTGGGGGCCGCATCTCCTTGTTCTTGGAGTCCAAATTACCATTTTGAGGAAGGTCAAATAGTCAACTGAAATAAGAAAAGAGTCTAGGCTCAATATACCTAGTGTTTTAGTGCCGAGATGCATGACGGATGGAACAAAGGGATCAATCATTTAGTTGAAGATATTATAGAGCCACAACACCCTTATTGTTGCTAGAACTCTTGTTTTCTCTTTCGGTTTCTTTGACTGATTTACATCAGTAGGTCGGTAACAGGATTTGAACCTGCGATGTTGTGCTGCGGTTGTCAACCCCATGATCAACAAGCCAGGTGCTTCCCTCCCAAGACAAGGGGTAGTTCTCCTTAGTTTGTTCCATTATAAGAACTTTCAACAGTTGAACTCTTGACCATTGAAATCCAAGACCCCCCCACCACAATAGACCATCATAAAAAATTGAAAAAAATGAATCAATTGCCAAGGGGAGCATTTCAAACCCCAAAAATGAACACTATACTGAAAATTATATATAGAGCTTGTACTACTTCTAAAGAACATGTTTCAGAACTCAATGAAGTACAACGGGATATAGGTTTAGTCATAGGACACTTGTCAATCATAGAGAACTAAGGATAACTCAAATGAACATGAGAACAAAATGCAGCTCAACAGAAAGCATTCCAGCCCACTATACCGACAGATTATTATTTTAAAAATCTAATGAAAAAACCCATGTGAAAATCCAGCTAACATAGATGTAAGGGCATAAGAAGGATAGGGGGAGAGAGGAAGAAGAAAGGTACAAATGATATAGAGGACAGATCTCATAATATCAAAAGGTCATCTCCATTAGAGAATTAATGACACTAAATTTACAGTTAAACACTTTCAAAATAATATTACACTAAATTTCTTAAGCAATTCACAAATAAATGAATACATTACAATATAGGACTACTCACAGGGCAGTGGCTGGTTGATTAACAGTGGTAGGGGCTGCAGCCACTGGAGGTGACCTAAAAGAAAAGATTTGGAATGAGAACAAGCAGGCTTCCTAACTATTCTTCAAAAACATAGATTTTTGTATTAACATTTTTCCCTTGTGGTAAATTCCAAACAATAACCATTTCTATAGGCTTCTTAAGAACAAAATAGGCATGATACACAAGGCAATTTAGTATGCAATGAGGAAAAGGCTTACGGTGTTGCTGCAGTTTGCGCTGGTGGAGCTGAAGTTGGTGGATTTGGGGGCGAAGAACTCGGGGGTTGCACCTGCATATTATAATCATTAACATAGTTTCATATGGAAATATAGTTGCTTGTGAATCATATGATACAGCAAAACACCATTGATCTAATCGATCAGTTCCACATGTAAAAAAGGAGAAATATCACCAAAAAAGCATTAATTCAGAAGTGCAAGAAGAAAGAAATGTAACAGCAGTGACATTTCAAGTGATGACATCAATAATAAATTTTAACCCTGGAAGATTACTATCATAAGTATAATATGCGCAAGGAAATTGATGTGATCACAAGATAATACCTTTTGGCGCCTAGTAAGTATAATTCCACAAGTAATAAAAGGTTAAAGGACCTCCAAATGGAAGAACTCATTAAACGTCACAATAAGTACTAGAGCCTCTTTTCAAGGGTTCACAATTACCTGAGCTGTTGCACTCGAAGTAGTTGAAGTCCCACCACCAGCTGGGGCCTTTGTCTTTGACAACCAAATGTGCCAAATGATTAATAAATATTGGACTTTATCTCATAGTAAAAAAAAAGAAGTATTCAACTTACAACAGGACAAAGGACAAACTAGAGTTTTTGCATAAACATTCAACCACACCAAAACTTACAGAATATTAATTGATTCCAAGGTACAGAACTTATTATAAACACGAAAGACAACTGCAGAAGCTATCACTTCAAATGCATAGGGACGTCAATCCAGTTTCTTCATCAAAGCCACATATCTCAGACCTTAAAATTTGTGCCTTTTAATGCTACTCTAGCAAAGAAGAGGCAACAAAATGCAGTACCATTGCTAATATTCCATTTCACGATGAAGTACCAATCGAGTACATGACATGGTAGATGCCAAAAACCATTTATGCCTTTGGCACCATCATAATTAGGATCGACAGTAACTACTTTTTCAAGTTCAAATATGTTAGCTCAAAACCAAACAAAAGATGATCTATGGATGACATCGTCAACATTCCACAGCTGAGAAAAAACTTCCGGACCTAGAACTGAATTACATCCTTTGTGATGACATCTAAACACATGTAATTGACACCCACCAAAAGACGCAAAAAACACACACTTATGCATGTGTATACATGTGTGTCTCTATGTATATATGTGTATGTGTATTCACAAGCAAACACCAATTTCAGTGTCAATATCAATGTCCACATACATGATTAATATTATCAACCAATTTTGAAAAAAACAGATTTGCCCGCCTAGGCGGTCAGGGGTCCAGGCAGTCACCTAGTTCCCTAGGCAGCCCTTCTAGCAAGCTGGGGATTCTAGGCCCCAAGGATGGTGTCTGAGGGGTTGGGTTGGAAACCAAACCCCACAAATTGATCCTAGAAACTTTTTTTTTCAGAAATACAAATAAAAATATCCCTGATACATCAAACAGATATCAGTTTTAAATTTGAAATGGAACTACTTTTTGAAAAGTTTCTGAAACTATAAAAGATCAAAGGATTCAAATTTACCAAAATCAACAGCCTACATTACCAGTTCATCATTGCGAACACAGAGAAAGTCACAAATCATAAGTTACAAGTCTTACATAACCAATAAAACTCATCATTGCAACACATCAAATATTATTAACTCAAATTGGAAATTAAGTTTCATCATCACTGGCAAACATTCCATGATGCAATAGAAATTGGCTCGAATCAGGGACCGTTGGTTGCCAAAAGTCTTTTTTCAACCCACAAAATGTGTAGGGTTGACTAATTTTCAATTTCTTGTGAAATTGAGTTTCCAAAAACAAAAACAAAAAATCAATCTTGAAATTTCAAAAAAAAAAAAAAAATTGACTCTCTCTCTATAGCAAATAAAACTGGTTTTGGGGTATCGCAATCAGATGTCCCTCAAACCCTTTTCCCAACTTAAAGTGGGGGAAAATGGCCTAAAATCCATGGCAAACGCTAAGGCCATTTTTCAGCCCTCTCGCCGAGGGCTTGAGGCGCCTCCTAGGTGCCCAGGCAGATACAGGGAGCCTAGCACCTCAATGCATAGACAGGCCGAATTTTCAAAGACTGCTATTAACTAATTTGATATATACAACATTTTCCCCTACATGATGTGTTCCTATTTGAATCATAAGAACTGGTAATGCAAAAGTTGAACTGGTGAGGAATTAATACTAAAATAAGAATAAGGCACATTTTAACGTAAACTCCATATAAATAATTATGATTAACAAATAGCCAATACATAAAAAAAAGTACAATAAATAGATAGGTGACAATTAGCATGGAATCAGGGTTGGGCTTGATTTACTAGTTGTTGATGGTTGCAGGACTACATCAAGAATGATTACCACAGCTGAACTACCTAAAAAATAAGTAATGAACAATGTTGTAATTTATAATGTGGTTGCAATCCTTACTTATTTGTTTCTTAATTTTTCGACCATTTCTAGATAACCATCGTATTTCTTCATTTGTAGAACTCCTTAAGAGGTTTCTATAAATAGTCACATTTGTTTTGTTTCCTTCAGTAAAAAACAAATACTGACTGGCATGAAATAAAGTTCTGGTCACATCAAATCTGGAAACATAAAACCTCCCACATCTAACTGAACATTACATTATGTCAAGATTAACATTTCAAGCAACTATTCTCCCTCGAAAAAAAAAAAGTCGTTTTCAATACTAGCTGGCACTCAACACATCACAAACTAGGTTCCATACCATTTTAGCCCTCTCACAAGCTGGCAATGCACAATCAAGGAGTAGAACATGTTTCGTACTCCAATAAAAAAAATCAAGCAATAAGGACTCCCAAAAGCAGTTTGAGTCTTGAATCCAACAAAACAACCCATTCAACAATAATGAACTAGATCTTAACCAGTTTGACGAAGTACAAAGGAAAGAAAAGATTTTACTAGTTTGAGCTTGGTTTTTTTATCAAAAAAGAAAATGTCGGTGATCATCAAGAACACAGGCCGGAAATACACACCAAATAATCAGTTTATCAAGCTAACATTTTTTTTTGCAAGTACTGCATCAAACAACCATAATTTTAAAAGGCAGAATAGCTCTCCAACATGGGATGCATTGATAAACACTAGACAGAGTAGCTGCTAATTGAAAAATCAAAATACAAATAAAGACGTGGGATCAACCAAAAAATACTAGAGTCTACACTTCCCTGATAAGTCACACACTCTAAATATTTGAAGAAATCAATGAAACTGACAAAAATGAAGTAAAAAGCAACAAACAGAAAAAGTAAGAGCAGCATGAACATACCTTAGTCAACATAATAACAAGAAAGTTGTTTTCAGCAACCTTGTTATCCAACAAAGTGGTATCATCCTTCAAAACCTTCCCCTGGTGTATCAACAACTGTTGTGCTGCAGGGTATACATCTTGGCCATGGATAGTTTCAATGTTCTTTTTAACAGCAGATACCTGCAATATACAACACATTTTCAAACACCGAAAAGCTTGACCAGGAAAGGTTCCACTTGGCATATTACAAAAATAGTAACACATAGCATTTATTGTGCTATAACATCAAATTACCTTTAGGTTGGTATGACCGCCACAGTGAATTGTAGTTCTTGAACCTTTGCAGGTTCAAAAAGGATGCTTACTAATCCAAAAATAAAAAAATGAAAAATAAAATTGAGTAGGCACAATGCAAGGTAGCACACACTGAGAGAGAGAATACGGAAGCAGTTACCAGATTGATATAGACCACACGTACATTGTAAAGAATGAACATAATATCCATGGATACATGAATGCTATGTGGAGACATCAAGGTTTCAAAAAACACTAGGCGGCCCCTAGGCAGCAGGCCTGGCACTAGACGGGCGCCCAGAACCTCAGGCGCCCTATAGTATAAATTCTTAAAAAATATACATGTGTTGTCCAAACGCACATATATGCTATTTGGGTCAATTTTGTAATTTATTACATTCGAAAATATCGATGTTTTTAAAAGCGGACCGCCCAGTGCCTTGGCATCCAAAAGGAGGTGGCCTAGGCGCCCACCTAGGCGCCCCCGGCATGCGGCGGAAATGCGCGCCCCCTCTACGAGGGCATTTTTGGGTCTACTAAAGAGGTCAAATTGTGGGTTTTAAGTTCATTTTAAACCTAAAATTAGAGCCTATTTTAGAGAGAGAAAAACCTCAAAAAAATATTTATGTTCTAAGCGCCCGCCTAGGCACTCCCTAGAGATTTTTGAAACACTGGAAAATATTGTAACGTACTTTTTTATATATAAACATATGACATATCACAGGTTGAGAATAAACATGTTCAAAATTTCAAAATTCAAACCGTACAAAATTTAAACAAATTTAGAAGTCTAGCCTTAGTCTCCAACTCTCCACATTCCCCCATAACCCATTTAAACCTTTTTGAGGTCAAAATTAAACCCTTTTCCCTTTTGGCCATTTTAAAAATCAAACCCGGGTACATCCGTCTAGCCTAGAGACCATGTCTAGGCATGCGGTCAAAGGTGTCTTGAGAGGTGTCTTAGGCACCTACGCAACCGTTTTTCGACCTTGAACCACCTAAGAATTCCAAAGAATGGGAATTCCATTTGCAACCATTAAGTTCAACAAGGAATCAAAGGTGTGAGATAAAACATGGAAATTCTCATTAATAGAACACACCAACCATGAACAAGAATTCAGTAGCGTAATTACAACGAAACCTAAATAGCAGAAAATAAATAACATTCTCCCAGTCCATACTCAAAATCTTAAGTCTAACAGAGATAATAAAAATTTTAAACTAAGAATATGGGTTTTCGTGAAGGGTGAATTGCCATTCATACTATACTTCTCATAAAACCCTAGAATACACCAACCAGGAACAAGAACTCAGTATCGTAACCACAAATAAAACTAAACAGTAGAAAAAAAATAGCATTCTCCCAATCCATACTCAAAAATCCTATCTTAACGGAGAAAATAAAAAATAAACAAAAAAACACAAGTTTTGGTGACAGGTGAATTGTGAATAATACTATATTAACTCTGGAAACCCTAATTCCCAACCTCAAATCACCACAGTATGCAATATGAACAGCACAATAAAATCACTCCACAAACTCTCTTCTCTTTCAACACACAAAAGTTCACTAATTAATCTGAATTACACCATCCTTCCACAAAATTACTTCATTACAAATCAACAAGTGCATCGCATGAACAAGTATACCAAACACTAGAAAAGAAACAAACGACTAAAGAAAGGATGAGCACAGAAACCCTGGAAACAGGTCCGACGAGAAGCAAAAAGGACCCATACCGTGTCACTAGGCTCGACTTCAATCTCAAAGTGACTTCCCTTCAATGTCTTCACGAAGAGCTTCATCCTGATCCAGTCCGTACAGCTAGGGTTTTCCGTCCGAGACCTATGATACAATGGAGACAGAGAAGAGCGCAAGAAACCAGAGGCGAGAAGGGAAAGGCAAAGAGAAAGAGAATGGGGAGGTGAAAACGAAATAAAAAAAAAGGAAACTTGGCATTAAATCAACCGGGAGTCGTATTTATATCCTACCGATCGACTCTTTTAACCCTCGTTTAACCGCGGTTAAGGGTATAAGGTACCCAGGTGGAATATCACGTCCTCGCGCTTTTGACCTTTGGTTAGGTTAGCAGTACCGGGGGCAAAGCAACGGCTAAGATGATGATACGTCTGCAAACAGACGATGAAGACCGTCAGATCGTCTTCGGATATATCCATGATTGGAAATCATACCATACACCACTTGTGTACTATATATTAGTTATTAGTTGTGTATAATACATGTTGTGTATAGTACATGGAACACTGGGGATGTATATCTCGTAACTATTGTAAACGGCCAAGATTTATTGCCATCGTGTGAATGCCCTGTTGTAGTGAATTCCACCGTCCCTATGGATATCCTCATGATGTACCATTCCGCATACACCGTTGGCGTATGCTATATACTTTTCCCAGTATAAAAGGAGGGCGCTTTTTAGCACCGACTCCGTGAGAATGTTGAACTTTGCACCCTTTACACGCCTTGACTTTAGTGATATATCCATATCCTTACCCTTATGTGCTGTTCATTTATCTATAGCTCTATCCAAAATCATAATTCATTTTAGAGATATATCTGAAATCCAACTTAGAAAAACATATTTTCAAAGGTTTTTTGTTTTTTTTTTTTGGTGAGTAGCCTCGATCCATCCTACATATAGAACCTACCCGTTCTAAGTATGGTACCTAGGATGTAGCGTTGCATATCGTCAAACACTAACCAATTAAGCTTGAGCTATTATTGACAAATGGGATTTTTGTGATATATCTAAAACCCACATAAATGTTTGCAAGAAAATCACAAATATCTAAAAGCATATATCCAAAATCCAGCTTAGTCAAAAACATGATTATCACCACTCTCTAAAACCAAATTTTACAGAGACATCTAAAATCCAAACTTTGGAAAACCATATTTTAGAGACATGTCGAAATTTTGATTAATGCTTACAAGAAGATCATAATAAAATCTAAATAATTTTAGCCAAAAATATAAGATCATAGATATCCAAAAGCATGCAATTCAATGAGCCCTTATTTACATTTGAAAGTAGGTGCTAAATAGGAAAAGGTGCAATTGTAAATTAAATCATCAAAACTTATGTTGACAAAATCGAAATTACTTATAATTAATATAAACGGACGTTTTTGTCATTTATTATTTCTATGTGAAATAATGGAACCAAGGGGTGCGTTTGGATGGGACTAAGTCATGGATGGTGTGACTTCATACCCACAAATTGCTGTTTGGTATGGGCTTGCAGCATATCATCGTTGCTTATATGGTGTATTGTCACTTTTGGACGTAAATTTGAAATGAATATAAAAGGATGTCTTACACTTAAGCCAATTTAATCAGTTTAGTGTGAAGATATATATGCCAGACCCAAACAAGTTACAAAATCACACCAATCAATGATAAATTTAAATTTTAGGGCAAGTTTGCTTGCAACGCTCAAATGATGATGATATGGAAAAAACAGCACTAGTTGACATAAATGTAAAACATGTTTTTATTAGTTCTATATTTGCCAAAGAGTTGTGATCCCACACAAAATAGTTACATATGAGTTCTTGGCGTATGAAGTTATGTAATGGGATTCTTAATTTTTAAAATTTTAATATTTTCTAGAATTTAGGTTTAGGATTGACTTTAATTTTTAGTTTTTCCTTGAGGTATTTGTATATTATTTAGTTGTAGAAAATTAAAAGTAAAATTTGAACTTTGTTTTTTAAAGATAAAGAGTTGGGATTTAGTTAGGGTTTCTAAGGAAATAAGTTAGATTTTAGAGTTTTCTCTTTATAAATATGTAATTATTGGAAATTATTAGAACAGTAAATAGTGTAGAGAATAAGAACTTATTTTGGATATTGTGAAGAGATCTTTTTTGGATGGATTCTTTTGTAGACCTTGAGATAATGTATCAATTATCATCGTTCATTTTATTATTATTTTCTAAATGATTTATTTTACTTCGTTTTTTTAAAAGAGTAAATATCCTATGAGACCCTCCCACACCCATGTGTGTAGGACCCCAAAGGATCACCATTAAATTTGGCGCAGATCTCTAAAAATGTCAAGTCTTACACCCATGTGATAACTTTTTTAGATATATGTACCAAATTTAATAATGATCCTTTGGGGTCCTATACACATGGGTATGGCAGGGTCTCATAAAATCATTACTCTTTTTAAATTGGGAAATGACCATGTGATACCCTCCCACACTCATGTGTATAGAACCCCAAAGGATCACCATTAAATTTAGCACAGGTCTCTAGAAAAGTAAAGTCCCACACTCATATGACATTTTTTTTAGAGACTGTGCCAAATTTAATGGTGATCATTTGGAGTCCTAAACACATGGTGCGGGAGGGTCTCGTTGGATCATTACTCTTTTATAATATATATACATTTACTATTTATTTTATTTGCTTTACATTTTAAACTATATCAAATGGTATTAGAGCTTTACATGATCCACTCATCACAATGCCGCTAAAAGTGGCTCTAGTGATCAACGATCTATTACCACAAATTATAGAAGTTGCGCGTAAATAGCATAAGTGTATCCTTGGATAGTATTCGAAGAGCATAAGAGACTCCTTGGAAGGTATTTGAGGATAAATTGGCGTAATGAATCAATTGTTCCAACAAATGGTTTAAAAAGTGGATCGGTGACCCAGATCGGGCATCTCAATAACTGATCCGGATCGGCGAATCGGTCATCCGGATCGGGAATCTGTCGGATTAAAGCTTCAAAAAAATCCGAAAAAATCATTAAAATTTATTATAAATATTATTTTTTAGGAATCCAATAAGAAATGAAGGTACTATATTATTAACTTTCATTTTTTTCATCAATTGGTGAATATTGAGATGTTATTTCCCTGTATAAACTTATGTTAACCATTAAATTTGCATCACATAAATAAAAATCATAGAATTATCATAGATAAAATATATAATTATACATGGACTATTATAAAGAGTAGACTAATCAATAAAAGAATGGCCATTAAAATCTCGTTTTGGCAAAAAACCCTAATCCGCTAAAAAAATCTAAATTATTACAGCCTAACTAACTATAATCCAAAATTATTAAAACCTAACTAATTATAATATTATACACTGAAATTATAATTATTAGTTTACATTTTATAAGTATTTTATTAGATAAATAATAACAAATTAAAAATATTTTATAATATTATCTAATTTAAAATGTATTATTGATAGCTGTAAGAAAAATAATACATTACATGATCTATAATGTAAAAATTAATAAATAAAATAAGAGATTTGGTTATCAATGTAAAAATTAATAAAATGCGTACAAATTTTAGAAATAACACTTCAATTTTTCAAAAATTTATTTTTTAGGTTTCTATAATAAATTTAGTGAAAGTGATTGTTAGTAGAAAGATGAAGATTTCAAATAGAATAAACTTTATATGTTTTATTTTCTTATGCCTTTCATATTATTTAAAAAAATAATTATACCACTATATACAACAAAAATTAACTGCTATACAAAAAATTAACTTTTTTATTTTTCATTTTTTTATGCTTTTTATATTATTTACAAAAATATTTATACAATATATAAAACAAAAACTATACAACACAAAAAAATAACACCCATGGGGGGACTCGACCTTGAGAGGTCGCATGAAGAAGCAAAGGTCTTAATCACCACGTCACCTCACTATATGTGGTTATAACTTGATGATTAATAGAATATATTTAAATTCCCTTTTCATTTAATGATGTTTGGGAATTATCCCACATCGAAAGATGGGTATTCCACTTAGGTATATAAATACTTATGTAATATAGATTAAAATGTTTGTGTAGAAATATTAGGGTAACCTCACACGTGTCGCACACGTGCACGTGCGTGTCGCATGCGTGCAGGGAGGGAACCGGGCTGAACCGGGTAGAACCGGACAGAACCGGATTGGAACCGGTGGTTCTTCTCTAGAATCGGGCGGTTCCGGGTTTTGTATCATAATCGGCACGGGTTGTGCCGGTTCCCAAGTCACTCTCCAATTTTTAAAACATTGTTTCCAACTGTTAGTAGAGGGTGCTCGTAATCACGAAGATCTAGTCAAAGGGAGAAAGGACATGATAAAATAGTGTTTTGATTACTCAGGCGAGCTAGCTCAATCCTCCATCGTCCAAGGAACTCAGGCTTGCTAGGATGGGGAGCTCGAGCATCCCAGAGTTGGGTGTTCAATTTGGGATCTTAAAAAAAAAAATAGTAATATGTATTTTTTATGTTTTCTATCATTTTGGTAAAAGTTGGAAAGTGTTTTAGCCCTTAATGCTTATTTCCAGTGTTTAAAAAATCGCCGATCCGGATCAAGTGTCGGTGACACCGTTCGGATTTTGCTAATAACAAGGAATACGGACGATTTAATCGAATTGATGACATCGATTACTGTAGCTCATTGCTAATAACATGGAATACAGACAATTTAATCGAATTGATGACGTCGGTTATTGGAACTCATTAAAATACGTGTCATCGGTTACTGGAGCTCATTAAAATACGAGCCGCAAACTCATGAGTCCAAGCTCCTCCACACGTCAAGTTCACAGAAATTGGGATGGTAACCTCCATTTTAAACTAACTTAACCTTCTGAAATTTGTCATTGTGGGACTAATTTTTGCGTCTTTTTTTAGTAGGCTAGTCAACCGCCTTAGCATAGTAAATTAGGGTGCATCAGGATCTGTGCTTTTTTTGGGTGAATATTAGCTGCATGCGTGTCCATTAAATGAGCATGCTTTTGAAGAATGCCATATTAAATGAGCACATCCCCTAATTTATAAATTTTAGTGTGGCATATTAATGAGCGGGCCATGTTTTCAAATTACCGTGTCATACTAAATGAGCCTCATCAACATATATTTTTAATTAAATAAATTAATTAGAATGTCAAATTAAAAAACGGTCTTATAAAGGTTTTTACTAT